ACTGACACCAGACGAGGCTTCCTCCAGGAGAGCTCCCACTGTCACTCTCATGACCAGAACTCTTCCACTGCTCCCCAGTGGCTTAGGATTAAGTTTAAATCATTTAGTCGTCTGACATTCATGGCCTTCCTGGATCTGGCCTCAACAGACCTTGGCTGCCTTATCTTCTCATTAGTCACTTTTACACACAAGGTTGCCCGGCAACAACAAATCAGTTACTGCCCACTCTGTCCACCAGAATTTCCCATCCCTCTTTATGCCTTTGCTCAGCTTCCCTTGGACATGGACACTCTCCCTCCAAGTCTTCAAGTCCAACACTACCCTTCTGTCAATGTCCAGCTCCTTTATCCGTAAAGCATTTCTTGGTCATCCTGGCCACAGCAAAGCTTTCTTTTCTACAAGCGTGCAGTGTCTTTAGTTCGCTCTCCATATTAGCACATTTATCTCTCTCTCTACGTTCATTCTGTCACCCATACACGGAATCTTAGTGCAAGCTTTTTAAGGGCAGCCTCTGGCCATGCCCACATGGCCACATGCAGAAAAGCACCCAGGAAATGGTGGCTGAATGTACAGCCCCACAGAGTCCTGCTGAGTAGCACCAGCATCTGCTGTCCATAGCCAATCAGCTCCCCTGATCAGCTCCTAGAACCGTGCCTGGCACAGAGTGACACTCCACAGGTAACTGTTAAATGAACTCATCCACAGGGAGATCAACTATTGTCTACAGGACAGAAGTTCTGTCCCCATGGCATAAAACATGAAAGAGGACGTGAAGAAGCCTTTTCTCTCCCACAATACTTAGAAATGCCAGCAAGTTTCATGTCTCCCACAAGATACACGGCTATTCTCAGCAATAACTACGGCACGTCATGCTTTGGTATACTGAGTATTTCAGAAGTACCTAGTTTTAACATGTACATAAGAATCATTCTTCAAAATCGTCTCCTTTGGAGAATAACAGAGTTAGTCTAACAATGTCAAAAAAAATTTTTTAGACCTCCCTTTTATATAGCCACAACTTTTTTGAGGGGTGAGGAGCAGAGAGAGAGAACCTTAAGTAGGCTCCACACCCAGCTCGGAGCCCCATGCAGAGCTCGGCTCTCACGACCTTGAGACTATGATCTGAGCTGAAATCAAGAGTCAGATACTTAAACAACTGAGCCACACAGGTGCCCCAGACATCTGTTTGTTTTTTTTTTAACCAAAAGAAGTTGTGGCTATAGGGGTGCTGGGGTGACTCAGTTAAGTGTCCGACTCTTGATTTTGGCTCAGGTCATGATCTCGGTGTCCTGAGATTGAGCCCTATGCTGGGCTCCGTGCTGGGTGCTGAGTCTGTCTCACATTGTTTCCCCCCTCCCTCTGCTCCTCCCCCTGCTCACGCTTTCTCTCTCTCTCAAATAAATAAACAAATAAACAAAATCTTAAAAAAAAAAAAAGATGTCTATTACAGAATGAACACCTTTTCTCATAAGGCTTTCAACTGGCTGAGAATTTATTTCAGAAATAAATTCCAATCTCCTCATCCTTAAAATAGAAAAGGTTTTTTTCAGGGCTTTCATTCCCAAAATTCTATTATTATATAAGCCCCTTTGTAAGTCATGTGTACAGCAATTAGCATTTTTTCCATCAAATTTTATTATAACCCCTACTATGGGCCCTAGCAACACACATGGGCCTCTTGTTAGAGCACCTGTCAGGATGTAGTGTTACCGCTGCATAAGTCATTTATCCCACTCAACTGTGTCCTCCTGGAGGGCCAGGCCCATGGCATGCTCACTTTGGAATCTGCAGTCCTTACTCCGGGAACGTAATAGATGCCTCAGTAGATGTTTATATGAATTAATGACTCAGGTCAGTTATTTGATCCTAAGTCTGTTCATCATACCTAATTACTGGCTCCTTCCTATCCTCAAAGGACAGAGGATTTCTACCACAGGGGGTAAAAAAAAAAAAGGATGGAAGGCTCTTACGGCAACAGCAAATAAAAACTTCTAAGTGCGTCTTTGGCAAAGATAGCATTGCTATGGTAGCAGTTTAAATTCTTCCCACTTGACGTGGTACTTTCAGGAGGCAAAATTCATTGGCATGTCTGCGTGTCCTTTGCTATGTGCCTTAAAATATTAATCACATTACTTAAGAGTCACACTTTATAGATGTGCTTCATTCATTTATTTAGTTCCCCTGAAATAAATACAAGACAGGTAGAACCAAATTAGTTTTAAATCACACCTTAGAAACGATAGTTACCGAAGCACCTTGTCGAGTATCTACAATTATTACATGAAGAAGACGAAAAGACCTGCCTGTTTGGCACGGCGTACCCTTCAGTGATTGGAAATGATCTACTTCTCATTATCCTCCAATCATGCAGACTGACGTCAGTGTCTCCAGAACCTACACACTGCTCTTCCCAGATTCAACAACATAAGCACAGCTATGAGAAAGCTCATTATAAGTTGATGACAAATTGGAAAAAAAAAAAAAACTTTCAATAAAATTATAGGCATGACTCTCACATTTGGGCTTTCCAAACATTAAGGGCTTAAGAGACACCACGTTTCCTTGTCACAGAAGGTACTAAAACCCAGCATATTCTGGAAAGTCCAAATCTACTGCCTGGGCAAGCTAAATAGAGTGTGTCAGGACTGAATCTTTTTATACGACTGTTGACATTTTGCTTAAGTACATAAAAACTGAAAACGGAAACAACCAAAGATTTTAGAATTTTTCAGTTATAATAAAGCTTTTATCAAAGACAAAATATTACTTCATATTCTCTTAAATATTTCTGAAAGCACATATTCCTTCTCTTTAAAGAGGTGGAAACTGAGGCAAGAAAGCTCAATCACTTGTTAGAGCACTCTACATTTCAAAAGCAATGAAAAGCCATGACCCCAAATTAAATTCTCCAATAACCTATTCTTATGAGAAAGGGGCTAAAAGGCTTATTGCTTAACTACAGGATAAACAATGTGAACTATTTCAATGACTGGTCCAGTAAGCCTTAGTGAGCACTGAGTAATATGGACACAGGTTAAAACCCTTGCCCACAGTTTCCCTTGCAATGACACGTGTATATCATAATTAACAGGTAGCCCTGATTTTGGTTAAGAACAGTATTTCTGTACATCCCCACTGGATAGTTACATGCTGCCATCTTCTGATGATGCCCAGTGGAGTGTAAAAATTTTTTCATGAAAAAGTAACGTCAGTAAAACTAAAATCCCCACTTTTCCTGCCAGTAGTGTGCTCAGGAACAAGAAGAGGAAAGACACCAACATAGAGATTACAACACTCTCAAACATAATTCAAGCAGAATTCTAAATGCATAAGCACGTTATAAACTTTTTTTTTTTTTTTTGCAAGTGCCTCGCACGCTTATGTTACTATTCATTCTGAGATAGATCATCAATGACCTTCTGGGTCACTGACTAGGGAGAAAGCTGACTATAAAAAAGAGTGGGAGAAAAAATAAAGGGGGGAGTGCTTCCTTCCACCCCAGGCCCCCTACTGCCTTGAATGAAAGAAGACAGATGGCAGCCCACCTTCCCCTTTAATTAGGAGGGGCAGCTCAGAAGGGGACAGCCCTGTTCACTTGGCACCATCTTTTAACAAACCGTTTCGATGGTAATGCTCTGCTCATTCAGCCTTGTTTCAAACTGTTCTCAATCTTTAATTTACAAACCAAATCTCGGTAAATTTAACTGTGATTAAACTATAGCTCTGAGCACAATACTGTATATAAAGAAGGTATTTAAAGAAGTTTGCTGAATTAATAATTCAGACACTCATATAAGGAGCCTGGAGTGTTTTAAATGAAAAACAGACACCCCAAGACCTACCACCACCACCACTTTGAGATAACATGTGAATTCCCAGGGCACAGAAACCCTAACTTAAATTCATAGTATTCCACACTAGATTTAGAAATTTCTGTTTCTGGTGCCACACCATACATATAGTTACATTGCCTCCTTTACCTTCTAAGTGTTACCGTTTGAGTTGAGAAAAGTCAAGAAAACTCTACAGTAAAAACAGTCCATTTTATGAGGAAGGATAATCCAGTTACAAACTGCAAACTACTCTGCATTTCCATTTGTACTGCATTTTCAAAACCACAGAACCTGGGATTAAAAATGCACTGAGCCACGCAACCACTCCGGAGCTAGGATCGGGTAAAACGCAAACAAACAAAAATGGAAGAGAGGGGTCAAATGTCAGAATTAGGCTGGTGTCCTAAAGTCTTCTGCAGGGGTGATGATGCCTCTGAAGTACTTTCTGAAAGCCCCACATTTTCTATAAATCTAAAGCCCCAAATTTTCTATAAATCATGACCCTTTCTAACATGAAGGAAAACTTCAGTTTCTGTTGACAACTTTAGGTCTTTATACATTGTTATCCCATTCTTACAAGAAGTCTGGTTTTGTTTTGTTTTTTTTCAACATCATTAAATAATTTGTATTCCTCAGACCCTTTCCATTTCCTGACAGGTTTTTAAATTACAGCCTCTTGTCCAGGCACCATTCCTGCCCAGTGTCTGCAGTTCCCCCAGGGGGACTCTCTGTTTTCACGTGTGTCTCGTACATGCACCCTTTCTGCTTCCCAGCGGAAATAAGGACAGTGAGCTGGGGCGGTTTTGCTCGATGTGCTCCTGGCTGCACCATGGAGAAAGCTTTCCCTGTGTCATTGTCACTTAATTAGTGGCAAAGTTCTTGGACTGTTTAAAAAAAAAAAAGAAGAAGAAGAACTTTTTGTTTTCTAATTGATAATAAATTTCAATCCCTTGCTATCTCCAACAAGCAAGCCAGCACGGCGCTAGGTACAGGAAGAGAGACAGAAAAGATAAAAGAAGCAATTAGCTATTTAACAAACTTCATATCCTACTTTCCAATGAAGGGGAAAAAACCCTGGCATTTGCCAGATACTGAGTGTCTAATATAATGTTAGCAAGAGAAAACACGTAGGAGCGATTGGCTAACAAAGAAACAAACAAAACTTACTTTGTTTTCCAGCACAGTGAGCAGGTCGGGAATGAGATGAGGGTAATTCCTTCCTCGGGGCCCCTGCTTTCACTTTGAAAGCTGTGTTTATGCTTACATCCAGATCTGCTGTGGCACTCCAAAATGCCTGCACTTCGCAGGACGCCCCGAGTTCACGGTTCATCTCAGAAGCCCCGAGGACCAGGAGTCCCCTGCACAGATGGCGGCGACCTCTGGGCACCACGTGGCATCACTGCTGTTGTTAGCAGACACACGCCCGGGACACCCACTTGTTACCTCAGGAACCAGGCCATCAGCAGATAACTGCTCAGATGAGCGTCCAGAGTCTCCAGCCTCTAGCATGCCCAGGTTCAAGGTTGGAAAATGCACGGAGACGAGAACCACGCAGTCAGCAGTATTCTGCGCCATTAACTTTCTGGTACTTAAACGCCGGTCTGAAGAAGAGTGAAAGGTACACAGTTACAAGGAATATTTTACTCGTCATTGGGACTGGCAGTTACTGTGTACTGGGTCACATCTCGCTCTTTAAAATTGCATTTAAAAACCCCTAGGACAGGATTGTTTTCATTTCCTCTGTGAAAACGACAGAAAACCAATAGAAAATAAAAACAGGGGAAAAGTATAATTCTGCTTAAAAATGTAACCCTTAATCTCATCTGCTTAATTTTTTAAAACTCCAGAAGTAAAACAAAGAAACAGAAAGCATATAAATTCGGTTTGTTTTGAAAAATTACTTCATCCGCATACTGTCCAGCTCATAGAAACAAACCTCCTTCCAGCAAAACGGGACACTTTGACCTTGTTTACTGTAGTGTTTTGAAACTGCCGACTCGTAACTCCTGACATCACCGGACATGCATTAGCACCTTAACTGCTGTTGGCTGCACATGGGGCGACCCTGATGGTCTTCCATCGCCCCCTGGTTGAACAGACCCTCCCCAGAACAGTAAGGATACTGGCCTTAGCATTAAACCCCCGGAACTCACATGAGATCTTTTGTAAGTGTCCTTCTCTGGTCACTTTTATAAAAAAACAAAAGCACCGAACATCTGATACTTTTTAAAGTCCTAGCATCCAGGACCTAGCACGGATCATTCTTCCTGCCCAAGAAAAGAGCTTCCTCTCTCACCAATCACCATATTGGCAAGAATTTCCACCACAGAGCTTTATGAATAGAAGATCCCAAGCTACTGTCTCCCAACAGAAAATTCCCACAAGCTTTCCTAGAGGATAATTAATTTTGCTAAATTTTAGAGTTTCAAAGAGTACTGCATTTTAAATCTTGACAAAGTCATATTATTCCATTTTTAAAAAATTTCATGGAATATGCTCTTGGTGTCATATCTGAGTGCTGCATTTTGAAAGAAATCATTTTCTCCTGCAAGTCTGACACATACCCTTCCATGGTCCTCAACTCTTATTCTAGATATATCCGAATCAAACCAAAGGATAGTTGTTAATAGTTGTTAATCCCTGGAGTAAGTCACCATTAAATTTGGGGGGAACATCTCCCATAATCCACCTCTTCAAATAAAACTAAATTCTGGTCCTATAATGGCAGTGCAATTTTACAGAGAAGTAACTAAACACCCAAGTTTAACCTATCTGAAATCAATCATAATAATTATATTCTTGTTCTTTTCCTGAAACAACTTAACAAAACACCAAGTCCTCAAACTCGAGTCATCAAGAAATAAGGAACACGAAAAATACATATTTGAGCAATCATGGCCCTTGTTTGTCAGAGAGAAGCAGAAAAGAAAAACATCCAGAGTTAATAAAATTAATTAACTCTAGCTAAAGGACTACTTAAAAGCCCCTCCAAATGTCATGCTGTTACTATGACAACTTCAAAACTGCTTTGAGAAAATGTGAAGGATTTGAAGATCCATGATAAAACAAGTGTCATCGAGCCTGCGAGAAATTACTTTCATTTACAAGAGGCAGCAGAAAGGCTAAATGGCCATTTACAATTCTGAAATATCAGATCGTTCGTTACCTTCTGAGAGATGCTGCACTCTTCATTCAGATCATGAAAAGAGTAATAAGTAAATGAACAGCTCTCTCAGTCATCGGAACCATTTTGATTTCAGTCCTGCAACTCTACTACTCCCATGGTCTATCTAGTTGCTATATTATTTTTATAATGAAAGCAAAGTCTGATTCAATCTGAAAGGGAGGGGACAAAAAAATCCCTAACTGTCTCTTGTTTCCAAGTACAAATAGGCAGGCACACACTAACTCCGATTTTTTAGATGTCAATAATGAAACAGAAAAAGAAAACAGCATTTTTTTCCCCCTTAAAATTCCTGCTTTTAGGTATTTAGACTGATTTACATTTTACGTAATCTTGATGGCTCAATCAGGAAGTAAAAATTTTAAGTGCGTGTGTTACAGACGGGAGGAATCATGTGACCCACAGCAAAGAAAATTATGCAGCAGACGAGCACACTAAGAAAAATAAGCTTATAACAGGGTTTTAAAAATACTGTCTTTCGGATTCATTGAATCGTGAATATATTATGGCTTTTGAGAAACAATAATTTGTTTGGAAGCCTTGGAAATAAGCCCTCAGGACATTTTTTAAAAATATTAGGAGATCAAAGCAATTCGCAGTAAGAAGTGAAAGTTTAATTAATAAAGGAAGAGCTTCTGTGAAGATCATATCCATCCAAGGTTTATTTTAAGGGCGATATTTCAATGTTATTTGAAGATCAGGCAATACATAATTGTAATCAAACAAAACATCAGTTGCAGCTATGTATAAATACTTATGCTTTATTTAATGTATAGTGCTGTGTGTTCCTGGAGCACGAAGGAGAAAATTATTTAGATTTATCCAGCTCCACCCAAGTTCTATAGATTTCAGTGGTCACTGTATTTTATTACAGCAAATACATTCTCAAGAGGAAAATGTCAATGCATTGATATTTTTATCTGCAGATCTAAACTAGTAAAAGATCATCATTAAACAGTATCTGAATTATCCTTTGTGTTAAATAAATTATGCCGCAGACATGAGACCATGTTCACTTGCTCTGGAAATCAAAAAGTAGGATATGAATGTTAAAACATTCATGACTGTGATGGGTTGACTGATAGATGACTTACTGTTATACAAAAACTACCTACGACCTATCCTCTGTGCTACTTCTCTAAAATAGAATATGTTAATGTAAAGATATTTGAAATTGGAGAGGTTTGGTCTGTGGTTGTCTGTTTTTCAATGCAACTTCTGTTACTGATACTTTAACAAGTAAATTATTAATACCCATAATAAACAACATGGTTCAGAGTAGGTATTTGTATCTCTTAGATATTACTTGTATCACTTGAATGTTTCACAATTTTCAAAATGCTTTTCACATTTCTATTTCAGCTTTTTAGAAAAATGTATACCACAGCTCTGGGCAAATGACAGGACAAGGTCTGGGTGGGTACTTCTTGATTACTAGCTCACGTTGATTTCTTTAATTCTTAAACATAAGGGGTAGCTGGGCAAAAGAAGAAATTATTAGGAAAAACAGAAGTCTTCCAGAAGGGAAGCTTGAGGCAGATTAGGAACAGTTAGGAAAAGTAAGAAGCACAAATTCTCCAAGGCAGAGTATTAAATGACATGGGGATCACCTTACTGAACTTGCTATCATAGTGGTTGGCTGAATTAAGGAAAGATGAATTGGTTACCAAGAAATATCCCCCAATAAATTCACAGCACAGACTAGCTCTGCCACTTGCCTAGACCATGGCTTATTGAGAATAAACCTCAGGGAATATACATTTCAACTCCCCAATTCCCAATAAGTCAGGAAATTAGAGAAGTTAAGAGACTTTCCTATGTGGCACAAACTCGCCGCTGAAACTGGACCCGAGATTTCTGACTTTCCTAGGCTAGCGTTCTTTTTCACTGCGTGCCGCCTTCCATCTATGACCTGAGGTTCAAGTAAGTCTCCAATGAGCAGAGCCCTGGTTGCTTATCTCAGTGGTGAAGAACTGAAGTAGGGTGAAGACTGAAAGGGGCTCACTCGGGACCACTCAGTCCCTAACTCACAGGCCCCCTGACCCTTGTTACTGCTATCTCGGTCCTCCACCAGCCTGTGCTGAGCATCATACTTTCTGAGCTGGAAGGAGACAGGGCAAATTCTGGGCTGAGGGGTAAAGCTCTGAGAGCTGGTCCCAGTTCCTCTTCCTGGCTCCTCCCTTCCACACATATATCACAGACTCCTCATCTTTTTTCCAGTGGGAAAATCAAGACACTAAAATAAGAAAAAGCACTTGTTTGGGGTCACATCTCAGCTTCACTGGGATTTTGGACACACGTGAATAAGAGAATATTCTAGAAAAACTAAAATTAGCTCCTACTTTATAACCTTCACCAAAATTAATTCTGTGAAGATTTAAGAGTTAAATGTAAACAGGGGTGTGGGGGGGAGAGAATACAATCAGAAGGAAACATTTCTGACTTAGAGATAGGAAAGGAATTAATGAAAAAAGTAACAAAAGGCTACATAATGGGAATCAAGCTGACTACATTGTCAGGTACAATACATGTCCTGTATGTCCAAACAGCAGCTGAAGTGAAAGGTAAAGAAGAAATGGAATACTTCCAAAAGGGTAGTAAACTTTCTATCATTTATCAATGTATAAGGTACAAGATATTAACAGACTAGGCACTCCAAAATATACAAGGCCAATTAACATGAAAAAGTGTTGAATTTCACTAGCAAACATCAAGATTTTTTTTCAGCCATCAAATTCACAAAGATGGACAACAAAAAGAGTAACCTAGTGGAGTGAGATGAGCCCATCAGTTCAGGAAACCAACAGTATCTTTTTATAAGCCTTAAAACTGTTCTGACTCATAACAGGTCTATAAATACAACCTCGAGAAACAATCACAGATACACAGAAAGATAACTGTACAAGGACATACTTACAATGACCTAAAATTGCTATTAAATATCTTTTTTTTTTAAGATTTTTTATTTATTTGAGAGAGAGAGAATGAGAGAGAGCGAGTACATGAGAGGGGGGAGGGTCAGAGGGAGAAGCAGACTCCCTGCCGAGCAGGGAGCCCGATGCGGGACTCGATCCAGGGACTCCAGAATCATGACCTGAGCCGAAGGCAGTCGCTTAACCAACTGAGCCACCCAGGCGCCCATGCTATTAAATATCTAAAGTGGAGGGGAGCTTAAGACTAAGTGTTTAATGGAGAATACTTAATAACAAGATACGATGTTAGGTGAAAATGCTGGATATAAAGGTATGTATGATGAGTATGGTATCAGTGCTGCTAAGTAAGAAAGGAAAGGGGAGAGGGAGGGAGGCACAGACAAATAGGGAATACAAAAGCTGATCTCAAAAAGATACTGGAAAAGAATAATTTGAAAAGCTGAAGAAGGGGCAGAGAATTTAGATTTTTCATTACTTCTTTATA